CGGGCAAGCACTGGGCCCCCAGAGGGGTCTGCCAGCGAGACAGGAACAGGTGCAGGGAGAGGTGTGACAGTGGTGCTATCGCGAAAGAAGCAGCGCGAAGCACCAGAGTCAAGTGTGAAAGTGTGCAGGGCCTGAGCAGACTCAGGACCAGAGGGGGCAGACTCACTAGCACCTAGGGCTGCAGTCTCTATACCTGGGTCAGGTGGGACACACAAGTAGCAGTCACCCTCAGCACTAACAGTCAATGCATACATGGCAGCAAGAATAGCATCATAGTCTAGATCAAAGATAGGAACACCACGCCTAAGCAGATCTGCCCAGTTGGGGAACTCAGTAGCATCAGGATACTTTGCGCGCCAGGCGTCACTAAGCCTAGCGAAGCAGCGGAACTCAGTGTGAAAACCGTCGCAGGTGCGACCCTGGCGGGGACCTGAGCGAATGATATAGGGGCAGCGATCAACACCCTTAGGCGCCCCACGCCCAGCATACCAGTCATGGAGCTGCTGGGAGGTGAGGGGCTGACGCTGCTGCTGCTGCTGCTGCTGTGGCTGCTGCTGCTGCTGCTGCTGCTGCTGCTGGCCACCACTGGGGCCCCCTTTTTGGCCAGATCCACCTCCACCCAGGCCTCCACCACCAGTGCCGCCGCCTCCTCCTCCACCACCTCCGCTGCCGCCTCCACCACCCCCGGTCCTGCCACCACCCCACCCACCACCTCCACGGCCACCCCCACCACCTCCACCACCCCCGCCGCCTCCACCACCGCTCCCTCCACCGCCACCTCCGCCACCCCTGCCACCCTTGCCGCCCTTGCCCCCGCCGCGCTTCCCACCAAGAGCAGAAGCGGCGTTGACCTTCTCAGTGCCGAGAAGGTCGACTGCAGCAGCAGCAGAGGCGTAGGAGGGGGCAAGGGGGGAGGGGGAGCACCCCTCAAAGAGGGGAGTGCGGGGAGTGCCACGAGCAGCGTTCACAGCAAGAATGTTCTTCTCCGCTGCGACTAGCTGCTGCGCGAAGTCGTCTATGGTGATGGTGGTAGGGTCCTTGGCGAGGAAATAGTCCCTAACAGACCGAAGCGTGTCAGGGAGGCGGGTGACGAGGATGTAGAGGGTAAAGTACATGGGGGGTTTGTTCTCGGCGAGGAACTCGTCAGTGAGAGCGGCACGGAAGCGTGCGTCACTAGCGCGGAGGTGAGTGATCAGATCGGCAGCAGTGGGAAAGGAGGCTAGGTCGGGAAACAGGTAGGGCAGGATGAGATTGCCAACGGCGGCAGTGGCTGGGGCGGAATAGCGAGCAACTACTGCGTCAAACACCTCCTTAGCAGTCTTGAGCGAGTTGAAGTGAGCGCGCTCAGAGAGGGGTAGGTGGTTGCGAATAGCTAGGCGGGCAATAGCATCTCGGGTCTGCCACTCAGTGCGGTCAGAGGCAGGAGCAGTAGCAGCGGGAGCAGGAGCAGTGCCAGTCACATAGTCTAGCAGTGAACGGCCGTCCTTGGTATCAGTCATGAGGTAGAGCTGCAGGTCGCTCAGCCAGGTCTCAAATTCAATAGGACTGCCATCAGGCTCAAAGGTAAGAACAGTAACAGTCGCCATGGTCACAGGGTAGGGAAATGCAGTAGGCTCAGGCAGTAGGTGCAGGCAGTAGGCTCAGGCAGTACGCTCAGTCACAGGCTCAAACATAGGCTCAGGCTCAGGCTTAGGCTCAGACTCAGACTCAATCTCAGGCAGGCATGCTTAGGCAGGCAGGTAGGCTCTGGTACAGGCTCAGGCTTAGGTAGGGCGGGGCTTAGGCATGGGCAGGGGCTTAGGCAGGGCGGGGATTATGCTTAGGTAGGGCGGGGCTTAGGCAGGGCAGGGCGACGGCGCACAGGCAGGGCGCGGCGGCGGTTTCTGCGCGGCAGCGGGGCGTGCGCGGCGGTGGGGTGCGTATTGCAGCAGATGGCGCGCGCGGCAGCAGGCTGCACGGGCGGCTGTTCGCGCGCTGCAGGGGATGCACGGCGGCGGGCTGCTGCGGCGACGAGCGGCGCACGGGCACGCGCGGCGACGGGGCGTGCGGAAGCGGGCTGCACGGGACGGCGGGCTGCAGGCGGGGCGCGCGGATCGCGGGGCAGCAGCGGGCTGCGGGCTGCTTAGTGAGACGCGCGCTAAAAAAAAGGCGACGCGCGCTCCGTCGAAGCGCGCGTAGGCAGCAGGCAGGGCAGGCAAGGCAAAGCAGGTGGGGTAACACAGTAACTGGTGGGCCCGAGCTTAGGTCCTAAGTCCTAATGCTCTAGATACCATCTTAGAACTTAGGTATGATCAGATTAGGTCAAAGGGGGGGGTACAAGGAGAATGTCGAGGGAAATTTTGTACCCCCTAGTGCTACCCCACTAAAGCCTAGATCAATCTAGCACAGATATAACATTTGACAGTTAGCACAGTAAGCTTGCTGACGCCACCATGCCTCGCTCACACATTAACGAGCTGTCAGGCGAGCTCCTCGTAAAAATCTTCTGGCACTCTCAAAAGCATGTCTATGTTGGCCGTCAACCTCAACACAGCGATGAGGCATGGGTTTCTTTCTCGCCTAGCCCGAGATACTCAACCGGAAGCCCCTATGTCGAAAATCTCCACAGCTTACGAGGCTCGAAATCGTCTTCCATGCAGCCGCGAAACGACGATCATGCTACTGCTGGAACCCTAAGTCCGTTGTCAGCTCCTACCCTACTTACGGACAACCTCCTCGTCGCGGCCGTTTGCAAACGCTGGCATACTCTGGCTTCCCGGCAGGTCTCCATGCTCCTTGTGAAGGAAGTCATTGTCATAAAAGAAAGGGACAAAGGGAGGAAGAGCGATCGAAAGTCGCAGCAACCATCTGCTGCTTTGGCATGTACACCTTTTGTGTATACTTAAAATGTAAAAACTCTAAACCTCTTTCTCTCATACCCTCTCCCTCCCACGCCTCCATCCCCTCCCCCTCCTATTCCTCCATCCCCTTCTTTCACATGCCCCCATCCCCCACCCATGCCTCCGCATTCCTATGCCCCTATGCCCTCATGTGTCACTTTCTTATTGCTCATTTACATCCAAGGAAACAATAATATGTAAGAATATTGAGAATGTAAAAAGATTTGCAGCGGTGCAAGGAACGGGTGTTTTACATGTTTTTCGAGACCTTGGAAATTACATACTAAACACTCGAGAATTTAGCGCACAAGAAGCTATTTATCTTATTCTGAGCCTTCCTTATAAAAAAACTATTTGTGGTTTTGTACTTAGTAATACAAATCATCTACGCAGACGATTGTTATTATTGAAGACAAATGCCGAATTGGAAGGCTTGGATCCCCAGTCAATAGATATCTTCACACCATATGCCTGATTGCATCGATATATGAATCGACCAATAGCTATGGAGGCTATTTGTTTTGCAGATTTCTCATCTGAGTATGAGAAAACAAGTGATAAAACTCGTAACAGACCTGATATTTCTTCCAAAAGACGGTTCTATTGCAAGCAATCAAGAAAAAAGATCATTCGATACGTCAACTACTATAGTGATATTGATAACAATAACGATATGAATGTGCGAATATTATTGTTTGCTCCTGTTTATTAAGAAGCTTGTCAATCTAGCGACGTGGCCCGAATTTATGTGGCCAACCATGATATCATTTCGACAAAGAGGAATGATTATTCGACGAATGGAGAAACATGGATACGTGCACTGGAAGACGTTGTGGATGACGATGTCAACGATCCGGATAGCGAAACGTTACCAAATGAAGTCGTTGATATTGGCGTCGAGCTTGTGTTGGACAAATTCGTCCGATCCACCGATATTTTTCATTCGGTGGCTGCTTACGAAAATGATATCTAAAGATGGAACGCACGTTGAATGTAGAGCAGCGTGCCATTGCCGATCACATCGTACATGGAGTGCGTCTTGTCAAGATTACGAGACTGGAATGATTGAACTAACAGAGAAATCAGTACAAATAGCAAACCCTAGAATTGTGTACCCCATATAGGCTAACCCACTGTAGCCTAACAAATGCAACATATATAATGTTTGACACACCCCCATAGGCAAAGTGGGGGAGACCTAGGGGTCACAAGACCAGTCAAGGCAAAGCAAGGCAACAACAAGCTCAGGGTGGATCTCAAGGATACCACACAAATTCCGAGCACAAGCTAGTGGTCACAAGACCAGTTCACATGCAGGTTTATAACAGAGCATGAGATACAGTGATCACAACCTAGCAAGAGTAAACATGCAGGTATAGATATATATAGTAATCACAGTACAAGCAAAGTCAAGAAGTAAGCAAGTGAGGTCCAGTAGGCACAAGGCCTAGTAGAGTGCAGAAGCGCTGATGGTCACGAGGCTGAAGCGCCTTGGTGAACACATCAGCAGTGTTGGCCTCAGTGGCCACGTAGCGAATACAAAGCTGACTGCGCTGCTGCAGCTCTCGAGCAAGGAAGTACCGCAGGGCGATGTGCTTCGTTCTGTGCTCCAGTCTGTGCTCCTCACACAAGGCAATGGCAGCCTTGTTGTCGACGTACAGTACTGGAGGAGAACGAGGCGGCTCTCCGAGGTCAGTCAGCAGGTAGGTCAGCCAGCGTAGCTCCTGGGCAGCCATGGCTGTAGCGTAGATCTCAGCCTCGCAACTGGAGCCGAGAACAGAAGAAGAGCGTGTAGAGCGCCAAGAAACTGAGCCAGAGCCAAGGCTGAAGGTGTAACCCTGAGACGACCGCTGAGTGGCCTGGTCATCTGCCCAAGAAGCGTCTGAGTGCCCTGTGAGAACAACTCGGTCTCGCCCTCCAAGCACAAGCCCCATGCCCGACGTACTGCACAAGTAGCGCAACACCCTCTTAGCGGCATCCATGTGCTCCTTCCTGTGACGGCCAGGAGCGACATAGCGTGCAAGGATGCTAAGAGGGTATGCAAGGTCAGGTCGAGTGCAGGTCATCAGGTACATGAGGCAGCCCACAAGCTCTGGATACGGGCCACTCGGCTCTACGGACTCATCCGAAGGCAGAGCTGAGAGCGAGTGACCGGTAGGCAGAGGAGTGGACTGAGGCGAGGAGTACGTGAAGCGGAAGCGCTGGAGAACCTGCTGCACCATGTGTGACTGAGTCAGGGTGATGGTGCGCCGTGCTCTGTCCCGGGTGATCCGCAAGCCAAGATAGCTTGTCAGCTCACCCAGGTCTGTGCACGTGTGTCTCCTCTGCAGCTCCGACTTCACGTGAGCGAGTCCTGCAGTGTCAGCAGTGGCAAAGACCAAGTCGTCGACATACACGAGGATGTAGAACGGCGGCAGCGAAGTGTCAGTGCGCAGGAACAGCGACGGGTCAGCTGTAGAAGGCGCGAACCCAAGAGCCGCAAGTGTAGTCCTCAGTGTGTCGTGCCACTCACGCGGAGCCTGGCGGAGACCGTAGACCGGCCGCTGAAGCCTCCACTGGGTACCAGGAGGAAACGACCCAGTGAAGCCAGGTGGGCGGCGCAGCCAGATCTCCTCGTGCAGGCTGCCCTGCAAGAAAGCAGTGCTGAAGTCAAGTGAGTGAAGCTCGTAGTCGCGGTGAGCGGCTATGTGCAGCAGTACCCGAAGAGTAGTCATCTTCGGGGTGGGGGAGAATGTCTGGAAGAAGTCAACTCCCTCTCGCTGACTGAAGCCTCGAGCCACGTAACGGGCCTTGAAGACAGGCGGAGAACCCGGCGGCCGCTTCACCCTGAAAATCCACATGCCACTGACGATGTTCGCCCCAGGAGGGGGAACCTTGTCGACGTAGGTGCGTGTGGACTTCCAGGAAGCCATCTCGGCGTCCATGGCTGTCTGCCACTGAGAGGAGTAGGGACCCGCCATCGCCTCAGCGTAAGTGCGTGGGGTCGGGATGTCTGGTGCATCCGGGTCTCCCTCAGGGGCAACTAGCAAGGACACGAGACGGGGCAAAGCAGCAGCAAGACACTGGAACTCCTCCTGTCTGTCCTCAAGGACGTCCGTGCCAAGAGCACACTCACCCCCGACGGACGGAGGACGGACAGACTCAGACTCAGACTCAGCAACAAGGCTAGCAGCGTAGTCTAGACGACAGGCAGCAGCAAAGTCAACCAACTCAGCGACCAGAGCAGACGCAGTCGAGGACTCAAAGGTAGGGTCAGTGACAACAGTAGCGAGGAGACGCGTGACAGTAGGGTGCTCAGCACGGTACCGGTCAGACTCAGGGTCCGGAACATGAGGCAAAGAAGACGCGGGAGGAGACGGTAGAGGGACACGCTGAGGAGCAGTAGAGGGACGCAAAGTCATGTAGTGAGTGCCTGGGACAGGAGGAGGACGCTCACGACGGACACGACTACCAGTGCGAGCAGGACGGACAGGCGACGCAGGACGAGACTCGGGCTCACGACGCTCTGTAAGACCTCCTGTGGGACCAGTGTAAGGAGAGGGAGCAGGGAGAGGCGAGGTAGGCGGTAACTGTGACTGCGACTGGACAGGCAGAGGACACTCTACGGAGGGAGGAGGACAAGGAGGAGGAGCCTGCCCAAGAACCTGCTGAAGGAGCGGTACGAAGTACGGTCGCGGCCGCGCAGCGTCTCCAGAAGCAGAGGAGACTCCAGCGGCCGGGTCAACAGCACCAGCAGCAGCTCCACCAGTCGGGTCCTCAGCACCAGTAGTAGCTCCACCGTCCGAGTCCTCAGTACCAGCAGCAGCGCCACCGCCCGGGTCCTCAGCTCCAGCAGCAGCTCCAACGTCCGAGTCCTCAGCACCAGCAGCAGCTCCACCAGGCGGGTCCGCAGCACCAGCAGCAGCTCCACCAGGCGGGTCCGCAGCACCAGCAGCAGCTCCAACGTCCGGGTCCTCAGCACCAGCTGCAGCTCCACCCCCAGGGTCCGCAGCACCAGGAGCACCACTCCGAAGACTGCAGCGCCGTGTGTACCACTCGCGGATCTGCTGAATGGGGGGGAGCTCCTGGGTAGGAGGGGAAGTACCGGGACGAGCTCCAGCAGCACCTCTCCGAAGGCGGCAGTACTCGAGGTACCTCTCCTGCAGCTGCTGGGAGGAGAGGGCTCCTCCAGGCGTAGCACGCTCAGGCTCAGCACCCCCAGACGCAGCACCCCCAGGCTCAGTACCTCCAGGCTCCGCACCTCCAGGCTCCGCACCTCCTGGCTCAGCACCCCCAGGCTCCGCACCCCCAGACTCAGCACTCCCAGGCTCAGCACCCCCAGACGCAGCACCCCCAGGCTCAGCACCCCCAGACGCAGCACCCCCAGGCTCAGCACCCCGAGCAGGACGAGAGTCAACAGCTACCTCGACAGGCTCACCCGGGTCTACCTGGGACACACCTGAGGGAGCGGCACCCTGAGGGGGGAGGGGGTCTGGTACCTCAGCACCTGGAGCGAGGAAGAGAGGCGGGGGGGGGAGCGGGGCAGTGCGGTAGGGGAAGAGGCGGTAGTAGGGGACGGACTCGTCAAAAGTGACGTCCTGAGAGGCCAGGACACGCCGCGAGGTGGGGTGGTAGAACTGCCAACCAGGGGCGTCCGGGACAAAGCCAAGGAAGACGCAGGGGACAGCGCGACGGGAGAGCTTGTCCGCGGACGTGTCGCGGACAAAAGCTCGGGATCCCCAGACCCGAAAACGCGACGCATCGCCAGCCTCTCCCGTCCAACGCAGTGTCGGAGAAGTCTCGGGCAAGGAGACACGGGGCCAGAGGTTGAGCTGATGCGCAGCGTATCGGACTGCAAACGGCCACAGAAAATGGGGGGCAGCCGCATGGCTCAAGGAGGTACGGGCGACCTCCATGACCAGACCAATGCGGCGCTCAGCAACCCCATTCTGCTGTGGAGAGTCCGGAAGCGTGTACGACTGCTCAATGCCCTCCTGCTGACAGAAGGCCTCCAGTAGGCCAGAGGAGAACTCCCCACCTCTGTCAGAGTGCAGACGCAGGACAGGGAAGTCGGAGCGGAAACGCTCACGGAGCTGGCGACGAGATCTGCGGATCCAAGGGATCAAGACATCAGGGACGTCACCCTTGGCGCGCAAGGGGAAGACCGTGGTGTAGCGCGAGAAGTCGTCAACAACAATCAGGAAGTACCTCTCCTGGCCCTGACCACGGACGCGGGCTGGGCCCCACACGTCCATGTGGAGCGTCTGCAAGGGAGCAGTCGTCGGGGGAAAGGAGGAGGAGTGAGGAGCTGCCGTCCCTCGACACAGGGAATACAGGGAGGAGCAGGCGAGTCGGGAAGGGGAGGAAGCACCCTGGGAAGACCAGCAACAAGGTCCCGTTTGTGCATAGCCCGAAGGCGCTGCACAGACGGGTGACCAAGGCGGTGGTGCCAAAGGACAGTCTCATGCGCCAGAGAGCGACACGAGCAGGGGGCGGACAGCTGACCTGACGCAGACGCAGACGCGGACGCAGCTACCTGAGGGGACTCAGTGGTCAGTGTGTACAGGTCCGACCCCGGCTCTCGAGTGAAGGTAGCCAGGTGGCGACCCGTCCGAGCACACGTGCAGTGTGTCACGCGCTCGTAGGCAGGGGTGAACTGGTGAACACCCCCATCCTGGAGCGCACTACCTGCCACCAAGTTCGTAGAGAACGAGGGGAGGTAGAGACCTGACAGCGTGCCGGACGGGACCGCCGGACAAGGAAGGACAGTGGAGGAGGTCGCAATGACCGGACCCCCAGAGGGGTCAGCAAGGGAGACAGCAACTGGCCGAGCGAGTGGCTCAAGGACAGTGCGATCACGAAAGAAGGAGCGAGAAGCACCTGAGTCCAGTGTGAAGGTGTGCAGTGCTGCAGTCGACTCAGTACCAGGGGGCACGGACGCACGAGCACCTAGGGCAGCGGCCTCACCAGGACCTGTGGGAGCAGACGCACTAGCACCTAGAGCGGCAGCCGGACTGGCCTGAATGCCCGGGTCGGGCGGAACACGCAAGTACTGAGCACCCTCTCCACTAATAGACATCGCATACATGGCAGTGAGAATAGCATCAAAGTCTAAAGCCCAAATATCAACACCCCTCTTTTCCAGATCAGCCCAGCGCGGCAGCTCAGTGGCAGTAGGAAACTGAGTGCGCCACGCGTCGTTAAGGCGCGCGAAGCAGCGCTGCGTGGGGTGTGGCCTCCCACACTGCTGGCCGCTGCGGTCACCTGTGCGAATGACGTACGTGCAGGTAACGCTACGCTGCGCATACCACTCACGGGCGGCCTGAAGCGTCGGGGCGCGCTGCTGACTCGGGCCTCTGCCAGTGCCTCCACGACCACCACCCCCACCGCCGCCGCCCCGGCCACCTCCACCCCTGCCGCCGCCACGACCACCTCCGCCTCCGCTGCTGCCTCCACCACCACTCCCACCGCTGCTGTCTCCTCCCCCACTGCCGCCACTAGTCTCCCCAGCCGCGCCTCCACTCCCACCGCCTCCACCCCCACCTCCTCCGCCGCCACCCCCACCCCTGCCCCCCTTGTTCCTGCGGCGCCCGCTCGAAGCAGACGCGGTCCCGACCTTCTCAGCACCAAGAAGGTCGACAGCAGCAGCAGAGGCGACAGAGGGGAGGAGGGGGGAAGGGGAACACCCCTCAAAGAAAGGGGTGAGGGGGTCGCCACACCTATTGAGTATACTAAAAATGTAAAAACTCTAAACCCCTTTCTCTCTTTTCCGTCATACCCTCTCCCTCCCATATCTCCATCCCCTCCCTATCCTATTCCTCCATCCCCTCCTTTCATATGACCCCATCCCCCACCCATTGCCCCTATGCCCACATGAGTCACTTTCTTATGAATCATTTACATCCAAGGAAACAGTACGACACCCCCACCTAGAGCTGCAATTGCGCCTCGATATAGCACTTTACCCTCGCTACGTTGTCCTCGCACAAATTTCCCTTATACGACATGTTTACCATTCAACACAAATGTTACGGGGTACTTTCCTGTTCAAGGGTAGTTTACCCTAAACAGACCCCCAACCTTATCCCAACCCTATCTTCATCCAATCCCTTTGGGATTTCCTAGATTTCCCAACCGCCACGTGGCACTCTACTTTTCTAGCTTCACAATTCCTAGTCCCACAATCTACTTTCCAACCTTGTTTCTTGCATGCTATATAAACCTTGCTTGTATTCCCTCATATCAACCAATTCTCGTTCAACTCTTTCATTACTCAGTAACTCCTTCGCATATTTCGCCAATAGTTCTTTCGCCAAAGTCTTCCGCCGCGTTTTCATCCTCGACTTAGTCGACCCCGCTATTCGTTAGCGGACTTAGGCCGTCGGGCCTAACACTTGGTATAAGAGCCTTCGCGGGGAGCGGCCGTCGACGACGAGACTACGACGTCATCGTCCCGCGGTGCCGACTTGCAGACTTGGAGTCATTGAGCGAACATGGACGAATCCATGAACGCTTTCCCCCACGACATGGGCAACACCGTCACGCTTGCCGAGCTCATGCGCCAACTCGAACAGCTGACGTTGGAAAATCGTCAGGTACGAGCCGAAATGCAACAGCTTCGCAATTTGGCTTCTAACCCCCATGGTCATGCCGCACCAACTCCTGCACCCACCACGTCGACTGGCGCGGAAGCGCTGCCGGAACGTCGAAGCGCACTCAAGCCGCAGAAACCCGAGTCGTTCGACCCAAGTCAACGCGACGCAAACGTGCGGACGTGGCTCTTCATGCTTAACAACTACTTCGCCGCGAGCGGGGTGCAAGAGGCGGACGCGCAGCAGCGGATCGAGTACGCGGTGACGCTGCTGAGGGGCCCGGCCTTGGAGTGGTGGCGCCAACTTACGCAGACTGCTGTACGGAGGGCTCAGTTAGACGGGCATCAACAGGGCGTGGGGCATGCAGCTGCAACTTCGAGCTTAGGGAGTTTAGCTTTGGGTGTTACCACGGTTCCGACGACATGGGAAGGATTTGAAGCGGCGCTGAAAAGTAGGTTCGATTTGGTGAACGCCTCCGAAGCTGCTAGGAAGCGTCTGCGTCATTTATGACAGATAGGAAACGTCCAGGAGTACACACGACGGTTCTTGAGCATCTGCAACGAAATAGACGACATCACGGAAGCAGAGATGCGCGATCGCTACCTCGAAGGGTTGAAGTCGGACATAGCGGAGGTTATAGCGATTCACGGGTTGTCCACCTTCGAGTCGGTAGTCGCAGCAGCAGAACGCGTCGACGCAGTACGAAGCCGACGGGGTCGTGACGATCGCGATAGGGGATACAACATACCGGTCAACGACGCTCGATCGAGGGACGGACCATCGCCCATGGAGATTGGTGCAGTTAACAGTGACGGCTCACAGCGCAACGGATTTAGGGGGAACTGTCACTACTGCAAAAAGCCGGGACACATGAAGCGGGACTGCCCACAGCTTAAGGAGCGGCAGCAGGGAAACGGAAACCGCCAGTAGATAGCGGGTCGCTAGCTGGTGTGGAGGCTTCCGTACCCGCCAAGTCTGCCGACGTAGAGGAGACAGCTCTAGAGCAGTCATCTACGGAGAACGGGGTAGACACTGTTGATCGTCCAGTCGTGCTTCTAGGGAAGCTTCGCGGAGTTCCTGTTAAGATTCTCGTCGATAGCGGAGCTAGCCACTCGTTCGTTTCGTCTTCATTAGTTAGCCGTCTCCATCTCGAAGCAAACACTTCAGTCAACTTCAAAGACACTCGTATGGTAGATGGGACGCCTCTCCACATAGGACCGATCATTCGCAAGTTGCGCGTAGTGCTAGGACCGATCACAGTTAGGCGTGACTTCGACTCTGCGACGCTGGACGGATACGATTTCGTATTCGGGAGAGACTGGCTACGGACGGTTAGCACTCAGTTCGATTGGGCTCAGGGAAGCTGCAGTGTCAAAGTAGATGGGGAGTTCCGGGAGCTGCCACAGTGGAGCGATGGGGCCACATCATCCACAGCTATCATTAATGCTGTTCGTGTGCGACAGTTAGTGAAGCGTGCGGCACGGATCTTCGCGGTTTTCCTTGAGGAAGTGGAAGCTGAGGAGGGGAAAGAAGGGAGTGCACTAGTTAGTGAGAAGACGACTCTTCCTGCTGAGGTGAGTGCACTGTTAGCAGAGTTCGCAGACGTCTTCCCCGACGAGTTGCCCCCAGGGTTACCTCCCAGCCGAGCAGTAGACCATCGAATAGAGTTGGAGCCGGGAAGCAGGCCAGTAGCGAAGCCGCAGTGGAGGTTGAGTCCAGCAGAGACAGAGGAGATGACGCAGCAGGTTAGGCACTTTCTCGCACAGGGGTTCATACAGCCATCTAGATCGCCTTGGGCCGCACCGATCCTGTTCGCGCCTAAGAAAGACGGAGGGTTACGGATGTGCATAGATTACCGCGCACTGAACGCCGCCACCGTTAAGAACAGATTCCCAGTACCACGAGTAGAGGATCTTCTAGATGTAGTGCATGGCGCTAGAGTCTTCTCCAAGATCGACCTTCGTTCGGGTTACCACCAGATTCGTGTAGTTCCAGAGGACCAGCACAAGACGGCGTTTCGTACGAAGCAGGGGTTGTACGAGTTTAGGGTTCTACCGTTCGGACTGACCAACGCCCCACCGACGTTCCAGACGCTCATGAATACCGTCCTCTTTGAGTTCTTAGGTTCGTTCGTTGTCGTTTATCTAGACGACATCCTTATATTTTCCAAGTCAAAATAGGAGCATGCGCAGCACTTGCTGAAGGTCTTTGAGGTATTGAGGAGGGAGAAGCTGTACGCGAAGCAGTCTAAGTGCGAGTTCTTTCTTCCAGAGGTCGAGTTTCTAGGTCACATCGTGTCCGCTAGTGGCATTAGGACCGACCCGAAGAAGATCGCAGCAGTACGAAATTGGATAGCACCGACCTCAGTCAAGGAGTTGCAGAGCTTCCTCGGATTCGCAAATTATTACCGCCGTTTCGTTCAGGGTTACGCATCGATTGCTAGTCCACTCACCGACCTACTTCGGAAGGGCGTAGAGTACGTTTGGGGTCCAGCGCAGCAGCAGGCGTTCGAGCAGATGAAGCAGTCGCTCACGTCTTCACCGACACTGTCGTACCCTGATCCCACTCGCCCGTACGTTGTAGTGACCGACGCTTCAGATCAGGCCATAGGAGCAGTACTTCTTCAGGACCAGGGACGCGGGTTGCAGCCGATCGCGTACGAGTCGCGTAAGCTTAGGGGAGCGGAGTTGAACTATCCCATACACGACAAGGAGGCGCTAGCGATCATCCATGCGTATAAGGTATGGAGGTGCTACCTAGAGGGGGCAGATAGTGTTATACGCACGGACCACTGTTCGCTTCGTTTCCTCAAGTCGCAGCCGCAGCTGAGTCGTCGCCAGGCTAGATGGATGGAGTTCATGGAGGGGAGTTTCCACTACAGGATAGAGTACAAGCCAGGCGTTCGCAACCCAGCAGATCCGCTCACTCGCCCTAGTTGCCAGCTCGCTAGCCTCACAGTCACTGCCGGCCATCCACTTCTCACAGCACTCTTCGAGCACGGTTACACAGTCGATCCCGACTTCACAGCACAGCCGCCCGCAGGAGCAGAGGTGCAGGGTAGTGTTTACATACGGAAGGGTACAGCACGGATTTGGGTTCCAGCCTACCGCCCTCTTCGACAGCTCCTTCTCTCAGAGGCACACGACGTAGTTAGTGCAGGTCACTTTGGAGCAGACAAGACGGTTAAGACCCTTAGTCGCACGTACTACTGGCCAGGGCTTGCAGCAGACGTAGAGGATTACATTCGCTCGTGCGACACGTGTCAGCGTACGAAGTCCTCTCGCCAGCGCAAAGCAGGACTCTTGCAGCCGATTCCACCGCCCGACCGCCCTTGGCAGGTAGTTACCATGGATTTCATCATGGCCTTACCACGCACAGTTAGGGGTCACGACGCCATCTTCGTTGTAGTCGACAAGTTCTCTCGAGCAGCGCACTTCATCCCCACGCACGGCCAGGTCACAGCAGAGGAAGCCGCGACGCTGTTCGTAGATAACGTAGTCCGACTGCACGGGGTTCCCGATTCCATCATTTCCGACCGCGACCCTAGATTCACCTCGAAGTTCTGGAAGCAGCTTTTTGCACTGTTTGGGACTCGCTTAGCCATGTCGTCTGCGTACCATCCAGAGACAGACGGACAGACCGAGCGTGTGAACCAGACACTAGAGCAGATCCTTCGCAGCATCACGATGCACGACGCAGAAGCATGGGAAAAGAAGGTGAGCATGGCAGAGTTCGCATACAACAACACGCACCACTCCGCCACAGGCATGTCACCGTTCTTCGCACTGTACGGTCAGCACCCCAATGTCCCCACTCGTGTCGATCTCACTCCCACAGTCCCACGTGCTGGCAATTTCCACCAGCACCTCACTTTCATTCACGACCACGTGAGGAAGCACCTTGAGCTCGCTAATGCACGCATGGCACGCACCACCAACCGCGGTCGTCGTGAGGTGTCGTTCACAGTCGGCGACCGTGTTCTTTTGGATAGCCGCAACCTCCGACTGCCACAGGACAGCAAGCTTCGCCCACGCTTCATTGGTCCATTCGTCATTGAGCGCGCACTAGGTCCAGTTGCATACCGGCTGTAGAAACCCTAAACCCTAAACCCTAAACCCTAAACCCGGGTCCCTTCGTCCTCCTAACAACGCTTGCCTCCAAGCGTACCTTCAGTCTGCAGGCGCCGCGGACGTCGCCTCCTTGGGAGGGGGGTAGTGTTACGGGGTGTTAAACTGTATTATGCTTGTAGGCTGTAGTGGGGTAGCCAATATGGGGTACAACCCCAACTAGGGTTTCATATTTGTACCCAAACTCCTGTTAGTTCATCCATTCTTGCCTAGTGATTCTGATATGGTATTCAGAGCAGGAGGTCCCTAGGACCTACCGATCGTTTTTTTTTAGGGCCCACCACCGCTCGCATGCGGTTACCACGCTACCCCGTTCCCTAGCCTCGTTAGCGCCCTCGCGCGCACCCTCGTTAGCGCCCTCGCGCGCACCCACGTCAGCGCCCTCGCGCGCCCCTTCGTTAGCGCCCTCGCGCGCCCCTTTGCTAGCGCCCTCGCGCGCCCCTTGCTAGCGCCCTCGCGCGCCCCTCACTAGCGCCCTCGCGCGCCTCTCACTAGCGCCCTCGCGCGCCCCTCGCCGAGCCGCCCGCTCGCAGCCCGCCCGCCCGCTCGCTGCCCGCTTCGCGGCCCGCTCGCTACGCAGCCCGCCCGCCCGCTCGCTGCCCGCTGAGCGGCCCGCCCGCTTCGCAGCCCGCTCGCTCGCTGCCCGCTTCGCGGCCCGCCCACTTCGCAGCCCGCTCGCTCGCTGCCCGCTTCGCGGCCCGCCACTTCGCAGCCCGCCCGCCCGCTCGCTGCCCGCTTCGCGGCCCGCCCGCCTCGCAGCCCGCTCGCCCCGCTGCCCGCTTCGCGGCCCGCCCACTTCGCAGCCCGCCCGCCCGCTCGCTGCCCACTTCGCGGCCCGCTCACATCGCAGCCCGCTCGCCCCGCTGCCCGCTTCGCAGTCGGCCCGTCCGCCGCGCTGCCCGCTCGCAGCGTCGCCCTCCCGTCGCACTGACCGCTTGCAGCGCCGCCTGCCCGTAGCGCCAGCCTCGCCCGCTGCTCTCTATCCGTGCACAGTCGTCTTCCCCTGCTGCGGCAGCTTTCGTTACTCTGTCACACTGTCGCTATGGCTTCCATTCGCGTGCTGTCGTTCGATGCTGAGGGCCGCCCTGTGCGTTTCACCGCTTGGCTAGATGACCTGCAGCTGTTTCTCCTGAGCGATAGCAAGGAGCATGTGTCGCTCTATGACTACGCGTCTGGTGCTGCGCCTGCCCCTCCTGCCACAGCTGAGCTTAGTGTTCGTTCCCACTGGCAGACTCGTGACGCAGCTGCTCGCCTAGCCATTCGCAGTCACCTGCCGTTAGCTGAGCTAGAGCATTTTGGCGACTGCAAATCCGCTAAGGCCCTCTACGACGCTGTCGTCGCTCGCTACTCCTCGCCTGCCACAGCCGAGCTTAGCCGCCTCATGCTGCCGTACCTGTTCCCCGATCTGTCCACCTTCACTACAGTCGCCGATCTTATCACCCACCTTCGCACTAGTGATGCTCGCCTGCGTGCCGCCCTTCCCACCGAGTTCTGCGCTAAGAACCCCCCCCCACTGTACTGGACACTCCACTTCATAGTCACCCGTCTCCCTGACACCCTCCGCTCAGTTCGAGACCACTTCCTTGCTCGCTGTCCCACTGAGCTCACAGTCGCCCTCCTAGAGGAGCACCTGCTCGCGGCCGAAAAGAGCATTGTAGCTGTTGGTGCTGCTCGTGGCGCTCCTCGCACCCCCATCTTTGAGGGGTGTTCTCCCTCTCCCCTCGCTCCCTCCTACGCTGCTGCTGCTGCTGTTGACTTCCTTGGTGCTGAGTCTGTTGGCGCTGCTTCTACTCCTGGTGGGAGGCGCCGCACCGGCAAGGGCAAGGGGGGCAAGGGTGGTGGTGGTGGCGCTGGGGGGGGAGGAGGTGGGGGAGGTGGGGGGGGAGGCGGTGCTGGAGGGAGCGGTGGCGGGAGCGCTGGTGGGAGTGGGGTCGGTGGTGGAGACGGGGGCGGCGGAGGGACCAGTGGCAGTAGTGGCGGCGGCGGCGGTGGCGGCGGCGGCGGTGGTGGCGGTGGTGGCGGTGGCGGTCGGAGCGGTGGTAGTGGTGGCGGCGGAGGTCGGAGTGGAGGCACTGGCTCTGGCCAGAGCTCCCAGCAGCAGCAGCGTCCCCAGACGACCCAGCAGCTTCGTGAGTGGCTTGCTCAGCGTGGGACGTCGGGGGCCAGTGCCCGCTGTTCTTATGTCATTCGCACAGGTGACCGCAAGGGACAGACGTGTGGGAGGTTCCACACCCCGTACCGCTGCTTCTCCCGCCTTGACGACGCTTGGCGTGAGGAGATGGGTGCGGATGTTGAGCGCCCCCGCTGGGCTGAGCTCATGAGGGCTGGTGTTGATGTCTTTGCTCTTGACTATGATGCTATTATTGCTGCCATGTATGCATTGACTGTTAGTGCCGAGGGAGACTGTTACTTGTGTGTGCCGCCTGACCCAGGTATAGAGCCCGCTGCCCTGGGTACTAGTGAGTCTGCTCTCTCTGGTATGGTGCCCCCTGTACTTGCTCCCTCCAGTGCTGTCCCGACTGGTTTCGAGTCTGCTCTCTCAGGTACAGCACCCACAGAGACTGCTCTCTCAGGTACCGCACCGGCTGAGGCCTGTCACACCTTCACCCTTGACTCAGGTGCTTCCCGTTGCTTCTTTCGTGACAGTACTGAGCTCACACCGCTTCCTGCACCGGTCCCAGTCTCCTTGGCTGACCCCTCTGGGGGCCCAGTCCTTGCCCAGTCCACCACTGTCCTCCCTTGTCCGGCGGTTCCGTCTGGCTCGTTGTCGGGTTTCCACCTCCCCTCGTTCTCGACGAACCTGGTGAGCAACGCTGTCCTCCAGGATCAGTGGGTTGACACCTTTACCCCTGGCGGACAGCGTGTGGCGATCTGCACGTGCTCCAGGACTGGCCGTCACCTGGCTACGTTCACCCGTCGGCCGGGGTCGAGTCTCTACACACTGACCACTGCGTCTCCCCAGGTAGCTGCTGTCGGTCAGGTGTCTGCGTCAGGTCTGGTGGCCCACGCCTGTGAGTGTCGTTCCCTGTCGCACCAGACTCTTCTCTGGCACCACCGCCTGGGTCACCCCTCCTTGCCACGCCTTCGTGGCATGCACCGTCGCCTCCTTGTGTCCGGTCTTCCCAGGTCCCTCCCTCCCCTCCCTGCCTCGCCTGCGCCGCCTTGCCTTCCTTGCGTCGAGGGGCGGCAGCGCGCCGCTCCTCACTCCTCCTCGTTCCCCCCGACAGAGGCTCCTCTGGAGACCCTCCACCTGGACGTGTGGGGCCCAGCCCGCGTTCGTGGTCAGGGCGGTGAGCGGTACTTTCTGCTGGTTGTTGACGACTACTCGCGTTACACCACGGTCTTCCCCTTGCGCACCAAGGGTGAGGTCCCTGCTGTTCTGATCCCTTGGATCCGCACGGTTCGTCTCCAGCTCCGCCGCCGTTTCCGGACGGATCTTCCTGTCCTGCGTCTGCACTCTGACAGAGGTGGTGAGTTTTCCTCCGACCTCTTGAGGACCTTCTGTCAGGCGGAGGGCATCGAGCAGACCTTCACGCTTCCGGACTCCCCACAGCAGAATGGGGTTGCTGAGCGCCGCATTGGCCTGGTCATGGAGGTCGCTCGTACCTCCTTGGTCCACGCGGCGGCTCCCCATTTTCTGTGGCCGTTTGCTGTCCGGTACGCCGCGCATCAGCTCAACCTCTGGCCCCGTGTCTCCTTGCCGGAGACCTCGCCCACACTGCGTTGGACGGGGGAGGTTGGCGATGCGTCGCGCTTCCGGGTGTGGGGTGCTCGTGCCCTTGTCCGCGATACGTCCGCGGACAAGCTCTCCTCCCGCACGCTTCCCTGTGTCTTCCTTGGCTTTGTCCCTGACGCGCCTGGCTGGCAGTTTTACCACCCCACCTCGCGCCGGGTCTTCGCCTCTCAGGATGTCACCTTTGACGAGTCGGTCCCTTTTTACCGTCTCTTCCCCTACCGCACTGCCCCCCTCCCTCCCCCGCCGCTTTTCCTTGCTCCTGGTCCCCCTCCGGTAGACCCCCTTCCCCCTCAGGGTCCTGCTCCTTCAGGTGTCTCTCAGGTAGACCCTCCTCCCGTCGCTGAGCCTGTCGAGGTCACAGGTGACTCAGGTGCTGCTGCGGGTGGTGCTGCTGGGAGTGCTGAGCCTGGGGGTGCTGAGCCTGGGGGTGCTGGGCCTGGGGGTGCTGGGGCTGCAGGTGCTGGGACTGAGGGTGCTGGAGCTGAGGGTACTGTGCCTGAGAGTTTGCCGCCTGGGGGTGCTGAGCCTGGGGGTGCTACGACTGGGGGTGCTGAGCCTGCGGGTACTGAGCCTGCGGGTACTGAGCCTGGGGGTGCTGCTACTGAGCCTACGGAGCCTCGGGTTACTGCGTCTGGGGGTGCTCCGGTTCGGGGTGCTGAGCAGTCTCTCACACCGCAGCAGCTTCGTGACTGGTACGTCCGACGCTTTCGCCGTCCCAGTGGCTCGGCTGGAGTTGGGGGTGCTGGAGCTGCTCGTCCTGGGGGTGCTCGTACTGGGGGTACTGGAGCTGCCGGGACTGGCTGTTCTGGGAGCACTGCGACTGGAGCTGCTGGAGCTGGGGACTCTGGCGCTGGCGGTACTAGCGGAGTTGGAGCTGCTGACTCTGGGGGTGGCGCTGCTGCTGGTGCTGCGGACCCACCTGGTGGAGCTGCTGCTGGTGCTGAGGAGTCGGACGGTGGAGCTGCTGCTGGAGCTGGGGACCCGGCCGGTGGAGCTGCTGCTGGTGCTGAGGACCCGGCCGCTGGAGTCCCTTCTGCTTCTCGAGACGCTGCGCGGCCGCGACCGTACTTCGTACCGCTCCTTCAGCAGGTTCTTGGGCAGGCTCCTCCTCCTTGTCCTCCTCCCTCCGTAGAGTGTCCTCCGCCTGTCCAGCCGCAGTCACAGTTACCGCCTGCCTCGCCTCTCCCTGCTCCCTCTCCTTATACTGGTCCCACAGGAGGTCTTACAG